TAATGCTTCAAGGAACATGATGTGCAAATATCTCTTTGAGATCCTGCTTTAGTTATTTTGGATATATACCCAGAAGTGGGATTGCTGGATCATATGGCAATACTATTTTTAATTTTTTGAGGCATCTCCATATTGTTTTCTATAGTAGCTGCACCCTTTTACATTCCACTAACAATGCACAAGTTTTCCAATTTTTCTGCATCCTCACCAGCACTTGCTATTTTCTGTCTTTGATAGTGGTCATTTTAATGGGTCTAAGTCGATATCTTGTTTTAATTTGTAATCCCTTCATGATTAGTGATGTTAAGTATCTTTTCCTATGTTTGTTGGCCATTTGTATATTTTCTTCAGAGAACTGTCCAAGTCCTTTGCCCATATTTTAATTGGATTTTGTTTTTGTTACGTTGTGGGAGTTCTTTATATACTCAGGATATTAACCCCTTGTCAGGTATATGGTTTGCAATTATTTTCTCATACTCCATAGTTGCCTTGTCATTCTGTTGATGGTTTTCTTTGCTATACAGAGGTTTTCAATTTTGATATAGTCCCATTTGTCTATTCTTGCTTTTGGTGGTTGTGTTTTTGGTGTCCTAGTCAATAAAGTACTGCCAAATCCACTGTAATGACATTTTTCCTCTATGTTTTCTTCTAGTATGTCATTTGGCATCCTATTGATTCTGTGTTCTTTGTAGTATATTTTGATATTAGAAAGTATGAGGCCTCCAGTTTTCATTTTATTTATTAAGATTGCTTTGACTATTTGGGACCCTTTGAGGGTCTATATATGGATTTTAGGGTGTTTTTTTTCTATTTCTGAAAAAAAGTGGAATTCAGATTTTGATGAGAATTGTATTGAATCTGTAGATTAGTTTGGGTAGCATGGACATTTTAACAATATTAAGTCTTCCAATCCTAAATCTAGCATCATGCTTAATGATGAGAAACTGGAAGCTTTCCTAATAAGATCAGGAACAATGCAAGGATGTCTTCTCTCACCACAAGAATATTCTGACACATTTTGTCATCCACAGCTTTAGTTTTGAACTGTTCTAGTTAATTTAGGGTTCATGAAGCCTTGCTTTATATTTTTTCAACTTTCAGGTTCTAATGCACTGAAAGTGTCCTCCCACTGTTGACTTTACTTGTTCTCTGACCCTAAGCAAGGTCCATCTTACCAGGTGAGACCTTGGCTTCTGTGTCTCTACCTTTAGTTATGTTATTTCAGGGCCCTTTGAGTAAAGCCCAGTCAACTAGCTCTTAGGGCCCTTGAGTCACAATGATGCTCCCGTGTGTTGTGCTCAAGGCACACCTGGCTGTACCTAGGCAGCTTTTTGCACATAAAATTCCATGATTATTAAGATTTCCATCTAGTACATACTGAAAGATATGGGATATAAATTTTAAAGACTTTGTTTTAACCAAAGCCAACAATAGAACAATGCCTTATGAATCAATATGTGATGAAAATGAGAGCATTATGAAATGTTTTACTTTTATTGGTTGGTAATTATGTCTAATGGTTCACTAAATTATGTGACATTCTTGATTTTATTGCTCCCCCAGGAAATCCTATTTTAAATAAAGTGTGTTGTAGCTATTAAGTGCACCCTCACCTGCACCTCTCTCACTTGCTAGTGGGTATGTATTTGTGAGGGTGGGGCTGGGGGTAGAGGCTTTCACTGTTTACCGTATGCACTTCTGTATTGCCTGAATTTTGACATATTTATTTTTTGGAGGAGGGTAAAAACACTGAAGTTCTACTTTCTTCTGCCTGCATTTCTTAAGACATGCATTTCTTAATTTTAACTTAAATATAAGATGGTCACCATGGTGCAGCCGCTGCTGCATGGCAACCCATACTCAGTTCTTTTCCTCTGTTTCCCCACACTTCTTTCTTTCTCAGCTTTTGCTTTTTCTCTACTTTCATGAAGTTCCGGTTTTGTCTTTCCTCTCTTTCTTCTTCCTTTGCATAGTTTTCTGAGCCTACACCCTCTACAGGTACTGTTTTAGAGATTTGTCAAAGGCTCTCACTTGTAATTATATCCACCTTTGGTTGCTATGATGGCTGTTCCTTTAGGCCATGGTTCCAAGAAGTTTGTCTAGAATGACTACTGCACTGAGTGGCATATTTCTTCACTTCATATATCTCTCCCCTCACATATTTTGAAAAGAAACTAAAAGATGTGCTCTTCCTCCTTCTTCAGGTTTTTTTTTCCTCCTGGCTTGTATAGCAGTTTTGGTTTGTTTTTTTTTACCAGCAAAACTTTCTCTAAAGTGAAAGGAAATCATTAGTATGCAGCAGTTAAAAAAGAAGGATCTCTTACCTTTGAGACAGCATGGAGGGACCTGGAGAGTATTATGCTAAACAAAACAAGCCAGTCAGAGAAAGACAAGTATCTCACTTATATGTGGAATCTAATGAATAAACTAAACTGATGAACAAAATAGATCTAGAGACATAGAAGCATGCAAAGACTGACAGATCTCAGAAGTAGGGGTGAGAGGATAGCAAGAGATCAACTAAAGAACATATATGCATATATACATAACCCATGGACACAGACAATAGTGCGGTGAAGGCAGGTTGGGGGAGGAATACGGAGTGCAAGGGGGGTAACATCTGTAATATTTTCGATAATAAAGATACTTTTTTTAAAAAAAGGAAAGAAAAAGAATTAACTAAAAGGCACACTAGTTGCTGGGTGTATCTAGAATCTGATTAGATTTAAGAAGAGCAGAAAGATTTTTATTTTAAAAATTGAAAAACATGACCAAATAATATTCTATTAAAAAATAAGATCCAACAAAATCTAGATAGGAATATAGGCTAGTTGTTACTAAAGGTATCAGAAATCTTGGTTGTATATTTTAAATGCACTTATTACTTATTAATTTAACATAAAAATGCAAAGACATCTTCCTGGCCCTGTTCTTAATCTTCCCCCTTTCCCTGTTAAATCCTGACCTACCTCTGCAGCCCCTTCTGTGCCCACTCTAGAGAGCTGGCTGTCAGGACCACTGCCAGGTAGCCTGCCTCCAGGGAAGCACTAATTAGCCAGGTTGCTCCTATTCAGGTCATCTCTGTGCACAGAACAAAGTGAGTCATAGTCCTCCTCTCCTAACAAAAGGGCATTGTGCTGTATTGTTTGATTTGGGCTCTTGTGTACAACTTGTGGTTGCAAACTTATGGGACACGAGGCACAGCTCCAGTGAGTGACACGCCTCTCAAGCTGTGCTATAATGATCTGATCAGCGTGTGCCCCAATGGACTGTGAGATCCTTTAAGGCTGCCATGCTTTTCTTTATTTTTGATCCCCAGCCATAAGCACACTTGTGCTTAGCTCAGGGTTCATGTTAAACAGATATTGCTCAGAAGGCTGCAGGAGGAGGGGAGGGGCAAAAGTTTGTGCTGTACCCCGGGCCGGCACAGAAGAGGCCCCTTTATGAGGGTGGATTTTTTTCACGGGCCGGCAGAGGGCGGCTTGCATCAGCAGACTGGACTGGTTTCTTCCCCCGCCCCCCACCTTGTTAACTTTGGGCATTACTTTTTCCGTGAACCTGAAGGCCTGAGGCTAGAAATTTAAATGTAAGCCTGTACAAGCATTAGGACATCACCAGTTAGTTGTACAGAAGAAACCCATGCTACGTTTAGTCCAAAAGGCACAAAAACAGTCCAGAATTAGTTAAAGAATACTAAACCGTGACAGCTCCGGCTGACACAAAGCTAAAGAAGAAAAGTTACCTGGTCAGTCTTTCAGGATATTTTAATAATTTCAAAGTTGGAAAGCTCCTTACACTCACTTGAAGAACTAGTTTATCTAATCCAACTGCCTCATTTCTTAGACGAGGGAGCTAAGGTTCATGAAACCAGTCCTCTGGACTCTTCAAGACGATATAGCTACAGAAAAGTATACACGATTCTCAAACTTTGGTTTTAGGCACATGTTGAAAACATGTGGAAAGATGACTATTTGGAAAAATTGCACCTAGAATCCTTGTATCTCCCATAGTCTCGCATACATATTTACATATGTATATAATGTACATACATAAAACATGTAATATTTATATATAATAAGTATGCTATATATAAAAATATATATTTATTTTTCCAGCATAGAGAGGCGGCGTAGTCGACTGGTTCAACATATGGACCACCCAGGCTGTCTGGGTTTGAATTCTAGTTCTGTCACTTATTAGTTGTGTAACCCTGAGCAAGTTACTTAAACTCTCTATATATCCTCATCTATAAATGAGGTTCTTAACAGTACCTGTTTTATTAGAATATTTTAAGGATTCAATTAGTTAACATTTATAACGCAGTTAGAGCAGTGCTTGGTATATTAAAGGCACTATAACCTATACTAATAAAAGAGTAATCTGCTAATTAGACTGGGAGACCTTCCGGACATCCTTCCAGACAAAGCCATGGTGGTGGGGCCGAGGCAGAGGTGGTTAGGGTCGATCAGGCTGGCGGGGGGTGAGGGTGGGGCAGTTGGGGGCAACCATGCCAGCAGGGGGTATAGATGGGGGTGAGCAGGGCAGCAGGGCGGGCAGGTAGGGCAGGCTGATGGGGGGCAGTTGGAGGCAAGAAGGCCAGCGGGGGGGGGGGGGGGGCAGATGGGGCAATAAGGCTGGCAGGGGGGCAGTTGGGGTGATCAGGCTGGCTGGCAGGTGGGGGCCGTTAGGGGCAAACAGGCCGTCCAGGGGGCAGTTGGGGGCAAGCAGGCCAGCAAGGGGGGGCAGTTGGGGATGAGCAGGCTGGCAGGCAGAGTGGTTAGGGGTGATCAGGCAGTCAGGCAGGTGAGTGGTTAGGAGCCAGCAGTCCTGGATTGTGAGAGGGATGTCCCCCAAGGGGTCCCAGATTGGAGAGGGTGCAGGCCGGGCTGAGGGACACTCTCCCTCCCGTGCACGAATTTCATGCACTGGGCCACTAGTCTATATTATAAAAGGCCTGTGGCCATAATGCTGTAATGACCAATGACCGGACTCACCAGGAGGTGCATTGATGGGTCTCGCGGCGCGGCAGGCCGGGGTCCTGAGGCGGCATGGTGGGTCTGGGGTCCCACACCTGCAGCTGCACAGTGGGTCTGGGATCTTGCCCCCATGGCAGCCTGGCGGGTCTGGGTTCTCATGCGATTTCATGCACTGGGCCTCTAGTGATTATATAATGTAATAAATAAAATACATAAAAATTTGGAAAGATGCTATTTTAACAATGAAAAAGAATAACATTTCAAGGGTACTTTTTAAAGGGTTGGAAGTGAGCTTTTAATATATCTCTCTTGGGGAAAATCAATTGTGTAATATATTACAAAGGCATGAGAAATAAGGTGTGGTTAATGAACTTGACCACCAGATGGAGAGCCAAAAAGCCTTCCATTATGATTCCAGGTGAGGCTCTGGTTTCCACCTTCCAGAAAAGTTATTTGACTTTCCCCCCTCATTTTGGAAAGTGTAAAAACAGCAACCCAAAGTCAAGTTCACAAACCTTCAACGAAGCAGGTGCTTGGAACATTTAACACTACCTGCCACTCCTGCACTCTTGTTTCAGAGGAACCATGACCCTCTCTCCCAGGCTGGTTCTTAATCAGCATCGCCCGCTTCCCTGGGCGTCTCCATTTGAAGGCAGCCATGGCTTGTACTCTGCTCCTCGGGTGGGGCTGTAGGGCATGGCTGGCAGGAAAGAGGAACGACAATAGTACATCCACTCTCCACTTCAGGCTTAGTGTGGGAAATGGGAGTCCCTGGCCCTGTGAAAAGCAACTCAGATCCCGGCTGAGGACCAGGGTCAATGGCAGTGGGATCCAGCTTCCAGGGGCCATCACTGGAGAGGTCAGAGCAGTTCTAAGAGATGCAGCAGAGGCAGCACTTGGGTTGGTGTTACAGACCCTACTTAGGAGAAAAGAGAAAAGCAGCCTTTGAGGAAATGCCCAGAAGCTTCACCTGAGCAGCGGAGTGGGAGGATGTCTCCTACAAGGGAAAGGCGCTCATAGACGAGGCGCCGGCTGAGGGAACAAGGCAGGAGGCTGTCTGAAGGCCGTGGCCCAGGATCCTTTGGAAAGTGACTGACAGTGAACTAGGCTGGAGCTTACTTAGACAGGACATGTTATAAGAATTGTCTCTAGCCAACGGAAGCGAGGGGCCTGAGCACTCATGCTTCTCAGACTTGCAGATGCATGGAAAACACCTGGAGACCTTGTTAAAACTCATTCTAATTCAACAGATTCAGGATATTGCCTCTGATTCTGCATTTTACCCTGGTGAGGATGCTGGTCCCTCTACCCCACTTTCAGAAGTCGGGGTCTCTTCAAAATGTCAGAAGAGAGAAAGCTGAGCACTGCAGGTCATGGAGCAGACACTCAACCACAGGGCATGTACTTTGGGAGGAAATCCTTCCAGCTGCCATTCAAATTCAAGGTTGCCTTTGCAGGTTCCCAGGTAGTAAAAGTATTTAAGGAGGAGTTCAATTATGGGGCAAAGAAGGAAAGGAATCACAGATTCAAGAAGCCCTCACTGACCTCCCAGTGTGATTGGGGGCTGAGAAGAAGAATGGTTGGGTGAGGCCAGATCACCAGTAGTTAGGGAGATCTGGTGAGGCAGAAGAAGATGCTAGCAGGAAAGTCCCGGGCCCATAGCAGCCCCTAAATTCCCCACAGGCAGTTTTTCACATGCTACCTGGAGGTCACATCTGGAGGCTTTGAAAGAAGATACCAAGTTACCTCACACAAGCACTCGCCAAACCAGGTGACTCGATTGAGAGAAGCTGCTAATTGTAATAGAGGCAGAATGTTATCTGCACTAAGTTTAAAACAGTTTTCCAGGGGGAAATGAGGACAGGCCAAGGCTGCCAAAGAGGGTTGGGTGTTGGCTTTGCAGAAAGCTGAGTGAAACACTGACAAACAGTGTTGACAGGTGTCCTGCATTGAACCCGGCAGTGTGGGATTTTAGGTTTTGGTGTATAAAAATGCAGTAAATACCTGTTTTAAAAAATTCATTATTCAGATATACTTTTTCATACATTTTGACTATTTTTTTTTAATCATTAGGGGTTTGTAATTTCAGTGTTTAGTTACTCATCCTGCTAGGTATTAAATGGACAAACACTACTTAAAGGATGCTTATAATTCTTTTGAAATGTGAGGAATCCTTTATGTGTGTGTGCAACTAAAAGATTCCAACACTAATGTAAAGTATTCTGTTAAATAGAGTAAAAATCTATCTCTTAGGAGAGGGGAAGAGTACACTCTACAAAAAAAGTTTTTCTTTTCCTCAGTCTGCCGGGGGTGGATATTTTTGTAACCCTGTTGCCCAGGAAGCAAGGAATCCCAGTTACCGTTGGGAGTTAACAAGAGCTAACGTTTGCTGAGTGTTTACTGTAAGCACTCCATGTCCTCTACCGCCTTGTGCACAGCAATCCCACAAGGGAGATGCTCTAATTGCACCCATTTTACAGAAGAGGAAACAAGCTCAGAAAGTTTAAGTATTGAGGCCAAAAACCTACACGTTACCCTCAGTTTCTCTATTTTACTCAGGCCCATCATCCAATTTGTTTACGAGTCTGTCAGCTGTAACTCCAAAATATATTTAAAAATCTGATCTTTGTTCCACCCTAGTTCAAGTCCTCATTATCTTTCTTGCTTGAACTTTGGATTAGCCTTGAACTGCCCCTCCAATGCCACTCTTAACCCAGTTCAGTCTTCCCTCCACATAACGGCCAGAGTAGTTTTTTAAAACTCTAAGTCAGATCATATACTCTCCAATGACTCCCCTTGACATTTAAAATAAAATTCAAACTCCCTACGGGGGCTTACAAGACCCTACTACGTGTTCCAGCTCTATGGCAGATTTTTCATTCACTCAACAAATATTCACGGAGGGCTTACTATGTGCCAGGTATCTTCGAGATACTGAACATATTGTTGCCATACAGAGCTTGCACAGTGGGAGGAGACAATAGTCGAAGAAATGTGGAGGATATCAGATGAAGATAAGTGCTATGGAGAAAAATGAATTGGAAAAGGAGAATATGAAGTGCTGAGTGGCAGTAAGGGTCCACGGGGACAGCTGAATGGATGGCAGGAGGCCTTCTTGAGATGGGGACATTGGAGCAGAAACCTGTAGGAGAGAAAGGAGTGAGTCAAGAGGATTCTGGAGAAAGAACATTCCAGACAGAAGGAATAGCAAGTGCAAAGGCCCTAAGGAAAAGGTATGTTTGAGGAACGGCAGGGAGGCAAATGAGGCTAGAGCAAAGAGAGTAAGGTAGGGGAGGAAGTGGAGAGTAGAGAGGTCCTGGCGGTGGGCTGGCAAGAGGCAGACATGCAGGAACGTACAGGTCCTCTCCCCTGCCTCAATAAAGGCACTTGGACTCTGACAGAGTGTGTTGGGAGCCAGGGGAGGAATATGAGCAGGGCAGTGGCATGATTGTGTAGAGAAAGAGAAGTGCTCAAAAGTTGTCCATAGGTCTGGTAAACAAGAATAGGTAGTTAACTATTGAATCTACCAAGGTGAAAGATGTAGCAACTGAGACAGTTTCAGTGGGATGGTGACACAAGCTTGACTGGAGAGAATTCAGGGCATATGGTGGGGGTCAGGGGAGGGGTGGAGGAAGTGAGGACAATGAGTAAAAGTGGCTGTGCTAGAAAGAAGATCAGAAAAGTGTGGTGGTGGCTAGAGGGGCAAGTAGGGTCAAGAGAAGACTTGGTTAAAATGGATGAGATTACAGCAATTTCTTATGCTGATGGGACTGATGAAGGAGAAAGAGTGAAACTGCTAGCGAAGGTTAAAGGGAATGGAGTTTGTGGACCTGTAGAAAGGCCTTCAGTCAGGCGATGGAGAGCCAGTAAGGATGTGGCACAAGTGCAGTGGGTGTGCAGACGGGGTGCTGGGAGCTTGTGGGTGCTCTCTATTGCTTGCTTTTATTTTCTTAGTGAAATAGGTAGTTCATCAATGAAGAGTGAGGACTAGAGAGGAACTGTTGAAGTTCGGGGAAAGGAAAATGGTATGAAGCTAAAAGGAGTTGAATGTATGGAGGGGTGTGATTAGACAAATGGACCTTGAATCTATGCTGGTTAAAGACAAAAGTGAGGACATGAGGGAGGAGAGGAACAATTAAAAGGTAGTAATACAGTAGACTATGGGATCCAATGGAGTTGAAGAAACTTTGGAGTTGGGGTACTACAGGAAAATAGGAGGTGATGGTGGAAAATGATGTTTCATGTGCCACTGTTCTCTCTCCCACAGTCTGCTTCAGCTCACTAGCCTTTTTGCTGCTCCTCCAACACTTGAAGTTTGTTTCTGCCTCAGGGCCTTTGCACTTGCTCTTTCATTCACATCATAGCTTATTCTTCAACTATACTCAGCGCTCAGATCTAATGTCATATCCTCAGGGAAATTTTCTCTGATCACCTAGATAAAGGGCAGTCTCTGTCACCTGGCCTAGTTTCATTTTCCATGGCATTTATTGCCACATGAAATTATGCTATATTCATTCATATATTTATATTCTGTGTCTTCCACTAGAATGTATGCTCCACAGGGTAGATTTTAGTAGGCATTTGGCGGGGGGGGGGGGGGGGGGGAATACTGCTATAAGTTTTATGTGTGTTGTTGTTGTTTTAAAAATACATTAAGGGAGTGATTTTAGAATTAAAAATTTTTAAATGATCCATTTTTTTTAAATAAGAAAAAAAAACCCAAAACTACAGACAATCTGATGATGAAAGCAAAAGCTACAACTTTGTCACCTTTTCTGAAAGTGCAACTGGTTTAGAAGATTAAGCTATGCAAACACAAAGAAAATATTTTGAATCATCCATTTTCTGGGTTACTTTTATTTTATTTTCTTTATTTATTTTTCTTTCCTTCTTTCTTTTTTAATTGTCTAAAGTTTTACATATGTCTCCTTTTTCTCCAATTTAACAACACCCCCCCCCCCCTGCCAAGCCATTCAATTTTCAGGCGAATGGAAATGAAAAAAAAAAAAAAAGCAGGGGTAGCAATACTTACATCTGACAAATTAGACCTCAAAGTGAAAGCCATAATAAGAGATAAGGAAGGCCACTTCATAATACTAAAGGGAGGAATTCAACAAGAAGATATAACTCTGGTAAACATATACGTACCCAATACAGGAGCACCAAAATACATAAAAAACTTCTGGAGGCTATCAAGGGAAAGATTGACAGCAATACAGTCATAGTAGGGAAATTTAATACCCCACTAATACCACTGGACAAATTCTCTAAACAAAAAAATCAGCAAAGAAACATCAATCCTAAATGACTCACTAGACCAGATGGAATTAATTGACATCTTCAGAACATTTCACCCCAAAGCCACAGAATATACATTCTTCTCAAGTGCACACGGATCATTTTCAAACATAGACCACATATTGGGACACAGGCAAAGTCTCTTCAAGAAGATAGAAATCATATCAAGCATCTTCTCAGATCACAATGGCATAAAACTATAAATCAACTACAATAAAAACAATAAAAAATCAGACACCTGGAGGCTAAATAGCATGCTATTAAACAATGATTGGTTATCAAAGATATCAAAGGAGAAATAAAAAGCATCATGGCAACAAATGACAATGAAAACACAACAATCCAAAATCTCTGGAACACAGTAAAAGCAGTCCTGAGAGGGAATTACAGGCCTACCACAAA